GGGGTAACCCCAAATACCTTACTGGAAGAGTCCCCAATTTTTAGCCAACTCTCTCATCCATATTCAGTTGCCATTCAAGAGAAGGACCACAACAAAATAACTCACACTTGGAGGGATTAGACACCAGAATAGAAAGAGAATGAAAGTGGCACATGATTTGCTTAATACATTGAAGACCATGATTAGACCCTTCAGAGAACAGAAGAAGGTCATCAGCAAACATAAAATGGGTCAGTTTAGTCTTTTACATTGAGGATGGAAAGGGAGAGAGTCATCACAAGCAGCCTTTTGCATAAGATAGGAAAAAACTTTTGTGGCAATTGGAAAAGGGTAAGGGAAAGAGGATTCGATTGCCTTAGACATTTCTTAGCTGGAAAAAAACCACCGTACCACCATTGAAGCCCACACTGAACTAGGGAGTGGCCACACACTGACACACATTCTGATCCATGCAATGAATGTTGGAAAAAACCTCATTTCCTCCACAACAGTCAATAAGTAACCCCAATCCAGAGATGCAAAGGCTTTCATTAATTCCACCTTAATGATGCTTCTAGGAGAGATGTTTTTCTAGTGATACTTTATACTAATTCATGGGCCAACATAATATTTCACCTATTGACCGACCTTTAACAAATGCATACTAGTTTGCACTGATAACATTAGGAAGAACATACATGAGTCTCTTAGCTAGGATTTTAGAAACACACTTATATATAATATTGCAACAAGCAATTTGCCCAAAGAACTTCATCTCCTCAGGACTGTTTATCTTAGGTATAAGAGTGAGTAAAGTTGAGTTTACCTCTGATCGTATTAAGAGTGAATGAAAGTATGAAATAATGTTGGACAATATCTGTAATCTCTGCACCTATGATAGACCAGGTATATTGGAAGAATATGGCTGAGAACCCCTCTGGTTCAGGACTTTTATCCCCTTTAAAGCAAAAATAGTATCTTTTACTTCACCAGCAATAACTGGGCCACATAATGATGTAACCTGCCTTGGCTCTAGTTTCTTTGGCAAAATGCTAAGGAAATAGTCAACTAATTCATGCTAACATTAGGATCAGCCTTACCCAGAAGATTTTCATAGAAAGTCACAACAACTTTGCTCATTAAGTCTATTTTAGTGGCTGTGTTACCCTCTGCATCTAATAAGGGTTAATAGCATAAAAGGTCACTTACGTTTGGAGCTACTAACAAAATGGTCACTTACGTTTAATTTTTAACAAGTTAGTAACTTATGTTTGCACTAACTAACAAATCCATCATTCCGTTAACTTTCATCAACTTTCCATCCAAAATGGCCACATCATCCTGCCATGTCATCACAATTTATATTAAAATAAGCCATGAATTAACCAAAACCAAACCCACCCAACTCAAACCCACGCGCTACTCTTGCTGGCTTATCTCTCTCCCAACTCCCCTTCCCAACCCAATAGAAGTTTATGTGCGAGCGATTCTAATAGAGCTCCCCCAAATCAAAGAATCAGCAACCAAAATCTTTGAAAAACCAAATCAAATGCCGCCGACGCATCACCGCCACCGGCATGCTCCTCCCCAATTAAACTCCCAATACTCACCACTGATATATCCATCTGCCCAGCTTCACCTTCCACTTCACCAAACACGGACAACCAGCTTAAGCGGCTGCGATATCCATCTCGGAGACTAGCCAGTTCTTGATGCAGAGCTACTGCCTAGGTTCTTTTTTCATTGGGTTTGAGAGAGAATCACTCCGTAAAACATCAGATCTTGATCTCTGCAAGAACGCCGACGAGATATGCTATGTTCTTTCCAGATCTTCATTTAGGTTTGAGCTGATCGAGCGAAGTTTGAACCCTATCCACATATGGATCCGAAGCAAGTGAAGTAGCAATTCGAGAGAAACTGATTCTTGTCGCAAAATCAGCAGTACTCCAGATTTGAAAATCCTTTCCCTCCCCCTCACTGGATCTGCGCAATTGACCGCCTACAAGATAGAGAAAGTTGACGAGAAGAAGGAAAAGGTGGACTGCGATTCTTAGAATTTGTCGCCCGAAGAAAATTTTATTGTTATTTGGATTGTTGGCGACGAAGAATCCCACGACGACAGCGCACGGTGAAGATTATTTGGGAGAGTTGACAGGAAGAGCCACGGTTGGCGCCTTGGCGGCGGTGAGAGGAAGGAAGAGAGATAAAATCGATTTGGGTAAAGGATTCCGCCAGTTTGGGTCCGGTTGTGGGTTTGATTCAATTTGCATCATATATTTTTGTATATATTTAACTGACATGGCAAGCTGATGTGTTAATATAAACGGAGATATGGATGAAGTTAGAGAGAATGACAATTTGGTTAGTTAATGGAAACATAAGTTACTAACTCGTTAAAAATCAAACGTATGTTACCATTTCGTTAATAACCCCAAACGTAAGTGACCTTTTATGCTATTGACCCCATCTAATAAAGACCTTATCATGTTCCTTTTCTGCCTAACCTTCATAGATCTATGAAAGCAGGCATAGTTTGCATCACCTTCCTTCAATCAGATTTCTCTTGACTTTAGACGTAGAAATATTCCTCAGCCTCCCTTAGCAATTTATGCTCTCCTGAAATCTTCTTCTCTTCCCCAAAAGAACTATCAGATGGCTGGCATAAAGCAGCAGCTTGCGCCAACATCAACTCCCCTTCCTCAAGTTTAACTCTTTCCCTTAGGTAATAATATTTTTCTCGATTAACCTTTTTGAGCAAACCTTTTAGGCAAAATCTGTAGCCAAAACTTTGACGTTTGTGACAATAATAGCCACTTTTGGGGAAATACCAATAATAACCAAAATTTTGAAAGTTTCATGACAATAATAGCCATTTCCGTTACATAATTTAACAGCGTCAGTGACACCGTTAATTAAATTAACGGAACGCTAACTTGGCTGCCAACTCACCCTCTCTTTCATTTCCAACTCGGCACTCAAACGACACGTCAGTTACAAAAAAAAAAAATCCCCCTATCCCTAATGGCCTAATCTCTTTGAACCCTCTTCTTTCTCCTCCAGCAACCCACCGCCCCTCCTCCCATCGTCAATCAGACAATCACCATTAATCTGCTTCCAATACCCCTCTTCTTCTCCCCCATACTACTCTCCTCATCCTTCGATTTCTTCTTTCTCCTGCAGCTAAGAAAACAGAAATCTAAAAAACCCAGAGATTTGAAATCATTCTTTTCAAGGCATCATCAAGTGACCTCTAATCTTCCCTCAACGCCACCATTGTTGATCTCTCCCTCGAATCCTCCACCTCTCTTTCCTCTGGTATTCCCCTTACACGCAAAAAGATCCCCAGTAAAATAGTCATAACACGCAAAAGATTCCCCTCCATCTCGATCTGCCCTCTACCCTATGCTCCCATTATCTCATCTTTTCATCTCCTTCTCAACTTCATCAAAACCAGCAGCTACCGGCGGTCAGTCCTCGCCACCGCTGCCAAGCTCCCAAATCTCTCTTCCCCTATCGAACTCCCCTCCCCTGTCTTCACTCCCAGAATTTAAGCCATCGCCTACCTCTATTCCAATCCAAACACTACTCAACATTCTCCTCTAGTTGCTGAGCCCAGCCATCGAGCCCGATATGAAGGAGAAAGAAGGATTCGTCGCCCGGTCTCCGAGAGGAGGAAAGAGACTCATCGTTGTCGATGGTGAACTCCGACGCCACTGCTTCTCTTCCTGTTTCCGAGTTGTCTTGCCTGTGAATCGAACCATCACACATGCGGGCGCCACCTTCTGAAAATCCATGGTCATTGCGGAGCCCATCAAATCCCTAAATGAATCCCCATCCAAAATCTGGGTTTGTTAAAAGCGTTGGAGATCTGGTTTGGGGGTTTAAGAATCTGACGGCGGAGTAAAGATTTAGGAGGACAAAGCAGTGTCGGCGGGGGTGAGTGGTGCGAGGTGGAGAGAGTGGAAGGAGAGGGTGAAGAGCTCCGGGAAGAATCCAGTCGTGATAGAATAATCGAGAGAGTTTAAAGAATAGAGAGTTTCGGCTAGGGAAGGGATGGGGAAGAAGAGAGGTGGACGTGTCGTCCTTCGAAGGAAGAGGGATAAGGGGGAGAAAATGAGATCGGAGAAAGAGGGATCAGGGGGAGAAGATGGAATTGAAGGAAGAAGGATCAAGGGGAGAAGAGGGTTGGAGAAAATGAGGGAGAGAGGGATACTTTACTTTTCATTTTTATATTTTAAAGTTAATCCATATGGCATTGTTACTTACAAAAATTTGCCACGTCAGCCTTTCCGTTAGTCCAGTAAGCACGTTAACTAACACCGTCAAACAATTGGACAAAAGTGGCTATTTTTTGTATTTCACCAAACGTGGCTATATTTGGCAAAACCGTCAAAGTTTTTACTACACAAGTGTATTTGGCCAACCTTTTAAAATTCTAAGTTTCTTGCAGATTCTTCCCAGAGGAGATCCAACAACATCACTAGACCGGGCCTCTTCAACCAACTCCAAAAGGCTAGATGCTCATGAGCCATCCAAAACCTAAAAACTTGAAAGGCTAAGAAAAAGATTTGATAGAGCTATCGGCGGTTAAGAAGATGGGACAATGGTCCGAGACTGAAGGGTCAACAAGATCAATATAATTATATTCATTTGTGTTAATCATTTTTCACATTTCTACATATTTTATTAAACCGTATGAATAGACACAAACAAATTATACCGATTATTGCTATGATTGTCAATAAGACACCATTGCAAATGAAGGCATGCACAATTATACTTTGACTGCTTTTAATGATTTACTGAAGAAATTTGCTAAACGAGCACAATGGTATAAACCGATTTGACAACCTTACTTAGAACTTAGAAGTTAACAATAAAAACAAACTTTCGCAACGAGATCTAAGTGGGGATGTGAGCGAAGTTTCTTTCCTTGTAGATCAGGTGATCAGATAACATAGAATAATGAGAACTTGAGCAAGACAAGTTAGCCACGAGTTGTATCTGTCACACTGCAACACTGATCTCATCAACTTCTCTATGACAACGTCGAAATAATTACTTTTAGCACACGAATGAACCATACGCGGGCAAGAACGTTCCCACTTCCCACTTCGGCATTATATTAAAAGCAGTTACGTTCTTTGGACTGTACTCTAGCAATTGCAATATCAGTGCGATGTGTCCAAATACCAAACCGGTAGGTAAACCATTAAATTAAAGCAGGCTACAAATTTTGGCCGCAACAAAGACCCGTTTGACTAATTCCTGGTTACCATCCAAACAATTCCCACCACTACGGAGAGTACAAAGTTGGCACGGCAAGAAGAGGCGTCCTCCGATGGACCGCCAGCCCCGGCGCCTCGTCGGCGTCCAACCCACCACCCTCCTCTCCGCCGGGCACCGACCAATCGAACCTGTGCAACATGCTGACCAGCGTGATCTCCATCGAAGCCGTCGCGAAACTGATCCCGGGGCACCCTCTCCTCCCCGCCCCGAACGGTATCAACTCAAAATCCTGCCCCTTGAAATCGACCTTGCTGTTCAGGAACCGCTCCGGCCTGAACTCCTCTGCATCGTCCCCCCACCTCTTCGAATCCCTCCCGATCGCCCACGCGTTGACGATCACCCTCGTCTTTTCGGGGACGTCGTAACCCTGTACCTTCACGTCCTGGGTCGATTCCCTCGGCACCAGGAGCGGGATCGGCGGGTGCAGTCTGAAGGACTCTTTGATCACTGCTTTTAAATAGTCCATCCGCTCGATCACCTCCTCCCTTACGTTCCTCTCGTCACCAAGGATCACTCGAATCTCTTGCTGCAACTTCTCCATCACCCTCGGGTGACGTAGTATCTCCGTCATCGTCCATTCCAACGCGGTATACGTCGTGTCCGACCCCGCCGCGAACATGTCCTATATAAAAAACACACACAACAACAAAAAATCTCACCTCGTGGAAACAAAAACAAACCAGAAAAAAATAGTTCTGCGAGCGTTGTAGTGATATGTGTATTATTTTACCATGACAATTTTATGATTGAAACCAAAATTAAACTACGGTTTCAACATAAAATATTATGTCGCGCTGATATTTTCGGCATAACCTTCCATACGAATTTTCAATCCTTGGAAGAAAAAAAAAGTTCTAGCCGTCCCCTAGACTTGCAGTAAAAATATGTATTACCAGGACGATGGCTTTGATGGTGTCTCGATCGACGGCGGAATCAGGAGTCTCTCTCTGAATCTGAAGAAGAACGTCGACGATATCCTTCTCCTCCTCCTCCTCCTCCTCCTCACTCTTTTCCTCCGTCGTCAGACGATGGTCCTCCACGACCCGGTCTAGAAACTCGTCGAACTCTGCGAAAACCTTCTCGACCCTCCGGTCCAACCCGTTGAACCGGTTGACCCAACCCAACCAGGGAATAAAATCCGCCACGTTCACCGTCCCGAGAACAGCCCCGAACTCCTCGAGCATCAGCTTGAACTTCCTCCCACCTTCCTCCTCCCCGTCGTCGTCGTCCCCGTACTTCCGCCCGAACGCCACCCTGCACACGACGTCGTTCGTCATCCTCGAAATCAGCTCGCCCAGGTCCAGCAGCGTGCCGTGCGACGCTCCCTCCTCGATTGTGGCGACCAGGAGCGCAGCCTCCTGCTCGCGGATGTGGCGGAAGGAGTCGACGCGCCTGGCGCTGAGGAGGCGCGTGACGCATATGGCGCGCATCTGTCGCCAGTAGGCGGAGTAAGGGGTCTGCGAGAGGTCCTTGTAGTTGTAGAGGAGGCGGTTGGAGATGGCGGAGTAAGGGCGGTTGGAGAAGGCGAGGTCGTGGGTTTTCATGATCTGTTTGGCGGATTCCGGCGACGAGGCGACGAGGGTCGGGGCGGAGCCGAGGCGGAGGAGGAAGAGCGGGCCGTGGGAGAGGGAGAGGGAGCGGAGGGTGCGGTGAGGGTGGGTGCCGAGTTGGTGGAGGTTCCCCAGGATGGGGAGCTTCCACGGGGAAGGTGGCGAGTTCGAGTTTGACTCCTTGTTGGAGAGGAGGAGGAGGAATTTGGCGGAGAGGAAGAGGAAGAGGAGAAGAGAAGCGAGTTGCAGAGGGTGGGAGAAGAAGAAGATGAAGAACTGTTGCAGGCCATACATTTTTTTTTTTTTTTTTTTTTGCTTTCTTTCCTATGGTCTCTGTTTGGATTTTGGTTATCTGGTTCTCAAGTTTGTTTCCGTTGCGTTTCCATTTGTGCTCGTTATTTATAGGAACTAAATTGTCCACATAGGGCTACTTGTTGTTCGTACAAAGACAATCCAGTCGATTTCTCCGGACTGCAAACTTGAAATTCTTTTTTTTTTATTGTGGAGAAGATATAAAAAAAGTAACTAATGTTTTCAGAACCGGGCCGGATGTTGTACATGAAAAGTTAGTGATTGATGGTTCGACGATTAATCGTTAATTTAGGGGTGTCAATTCGAGTTCGGGTATTGGTTTTAACCGAACCCAAACCGATAAGATGTATTATCGGGTTTGTGGTTTCGGTTTGGTTTTGGGTTTGGGTTTTTGGTTTCGGGTTAGCTAAAGATAAAGACGCTTCATATCCCATAAGGTGTTTTCATTTTTGGGTTTCGGTTTTGCCTTAACCGAACCAGATAACCAAAACAAAAATAAATCTCTTATCAGGTTCAGATTCGGTTTTCAAAGGATAACGAGTTTCGGTTTTGTGGGTTTTGGGTCGGTTACCCAAACCGAACCGGCCCGACAACTATATTCGTTATATAATCGTTGACATAACCGTTTATGCATTGTAGCATAAAAGACATATATAATATGCTAATTTAGGAGTGGAATTATCACTAACCATAAACAATTTCAAAAATTTATATTATCCCTCACCAAAAAGCTGTAACAAAATATTCAAACACAAACAATATAATTTTTTATATTAAATTCAAGTTAGTAAACAAGAAGACAATTCGTAGTGGACCACATAAAGCTGACAAGGAGGTTCGGAAATGAAGAAAAGGAAACATAAATAAAATTGGTGACTGAGGTTGATAATCATAATTCACGTTGAAATAAAAAAAATTCTTAATTTTTGTGAATAAGTGGTAGTCAAACAAGGATGGTTCATCTGATTTCATGTCAAATCATAAAAAATCGTTACGTACATTCCTAATTGTCCAATCAAATAAACTGAACCGCTACTATAACTAGTTTAGTGGTTCTACTAACCTAGTCGCAGATTTGATTCAAATCTTATATCAATGAAAAAAAACTTTATTAATTGTATTTTCATACAGAAAAGAATTTTTTTTTTTTTTGTCTTTCTCGGACAACAGTCCAGCTCACAATGAAAACCGAGACTAACTATTTTCAAATTTGACTAAGAAAGGGTTAGAGCATTGATTTCTTCCTTCTCTATGCTGCACATACTTACATTCTGACAAACGAATGATTACAAAAAGAAAAGTTAAAATATATTTTTTTATATTTTAATTGGAAATTTTTATAATTGAATTACCGACTCTCAAGCGTATTAGTATTTTTTTGTTGAACTTTCTCGTGTAATTTTCATTAATTCATTTAGAAGCTTTCAAATGGTTACCATAATTATTACAATTAACAACCAAATTAAACTTAATCGGTTTAAATAATTGATTAATGATTAACCAACATGGTTTATATTGCATAAAAATTTCTTCTTTTAATTGCCAATCCACAATGAAAACTAATGCTCTCTTTAGAGAATAAAATAAATATAATGAATAATTAACTACTTTAGTTACGAGTACAGTTCAGCGAGTTGATCCTAATAACTCAAGTTTTTTCCGAGAGATTCAATCATAGATCATATACCACTCACTAACACAACTAATTATATACATGGTACTTGTCGCCCTGGCATGCTCATTCTTCTCAATCAGAAATTAATAATAGGTCACAATGGAGGAGTTACCGAAAGTCGTCTCACTCGACTTTGATTGTGTTTGTAGGCAACTGAATTTAGATCGGTCAAAAAAATATCAACCATGCGATACATACATTTTTGGATTGGGACAATATCATGAGTTGCATATATTATATTAAGCAAAAGTGCAAAACAGTATAGTATATATATATAGACTAATTAGTTTGATTGGTTAGCAGGGTCTTTAATCACACCAAACCAACTAAACAAATTTAGTTGAGTAATTTAACCAATTTAAATTAACCGAATACTCTGGCTTAAAATAATGGCCATGATTTTTCATCAGTCTGAAGCTCACTGAATTCACTGTGAGAAGCGACAGTCAACTAGTTTCTTAGTTTTTGCATAAAAATTTCCGTTGATTAGTATTTACGGAGAAGTGTTCAATTAATCAAATTAGAACCTGAAAAAGACTCATTATTATATCGTGAATTCGATAGATTGGCATTTGGCAGGCGAGCACTTCTACGATGCTATATAGCATCGGTGTTTTAATGTACAATTTAAAATTGTACCATAACATTCAATGTATAAGTTTTGGTTGTACCATGAAAGAATTTGTATCATTATGTTATGGTTTCAACTTTACAACTTGAAGTTGTACCATCAAATAAAAGTACAAGTTCAAGTTGTACCATCAAAGAATTTGTACAAAATGTATAGGTACAATATGAAGTTGTACCATAACGTTAACGTTACAATTCCATATTGTACCATAAAGGTAAAAAAACTATAGCACCAATACTATTTAAAATTGTAAAATTCCTCTTAGCAGGCTAGTATACATCCGGCGACACTGCTTTCGTCGTGTTGTACGTACGTGTCTTGGGCCTATAGGGCGTTGCGTACATGGATGGATATGAACAATAGTTTTTTTTTTTTTTTTTTTTTGCATACCAAGGAGGCCACAGCCAAGAAAGAGAGCGGTTACAGGGAGAGACTAGGAGAGGGAAGAAGAATTCGCCACAACACGGCGCTCAAAAGTGACACCTCTAACATCATCCTGCAACACATGGGTTATCCCAGTAGGTGGGTCAGTCAGCTCATACTTCCCATAGGGATAGACGAGACTGTGCTTCGAGAGCCAGTCCGCGGCTCTATTCCCTTCACGGTAAGTATGAGACAGGCTAACCAACCAATCCTGGCTAATCTTTCTCCGAATAAGACTCAGCAGAGTGGCATAAGGATGAATGGGATCATGACGCTCCTGAATCAGCTGCAGGGCCAGCTGCGAATCCGACGCGAGCTTCACCGCCCGGAAGCCGAGCTTCCACACTAACTCCAATCCATAAAAGATGGCCCACAGTTCCGCCAACACAGCCGTCGCGGTCCCGATGTTAGCGACCACACCCCCCAACCACTTCCCCATGGAATCACGCACGATCCCTCCAACTCCCGCTAGCCCCGGGTTGCCATTCGACGCCCCATCCGTGTTGAGCATCACCCAACCCTCTGCCGGCGGCATCCAACCCACATCAGCCACTACACGCTCCACCTGTCTTCTCTTGTGACTAAGGAACAGCTCTGGGGCGTGCCAAGAATCATCCCACAGCTTAGTCTTGGCACTGATCGAATGCATCAGCGACGGGGCTGTAAGGGCTGCACTCAGGCCTTTGAAAGCCGCCGTGGTGCGGTTCTTCCAAATCAACCAGACAGCCATGCTAAAAAACCCCGGCCAATTGATGCCCGAAACACTGGAATCCTTGCTCCTAACATTCTTCCGGAACCAGTCTTCATGATTATCGCTGAAGAACTCCTGCTGCTTCACTTGGGGAACCTGTCGGCTCCAGAAATACGCCGCCGGGGCACAATCCCTCAGGATGTAGATCACTGTCTCTGACTGCCCCGTACACCTCTGACATCTAGGTGACTCAGCCACTTTCCTTTGGAAGCGAAGCACGTTCGTGGCAATCTTACCCTGAACCGCCAGCCAGATAAAACATCTGATCCGCTCAGGCACTGGTAACCGCCAAATCTCCTTCCAAATGCCATCTGTGCCCAGCTGAGCTTGCTTCGTGAACAGAGTATAGGCCGATTTAGTGGAGAACCGTCCGTCTGCAGCAGGGGCCCAAAAAATCGAGTCCTCCTCCTGGGAAATGACATCAACCGCCGTGCTCATGATCTTGTTGCAAACATCGGCCGGGAGGCGCCCAGAGAAAAGCTCAGTGCGCCAGCTACCATCAGCATGAACAAAATCAGCAACCACCGCCTCGTTTGCATCCTCCGGCACTTCCCCAATCACCACATCTTTCAAGGGACCCTGCAAAATCCACGGATCAGACCAAAACTTAGTTCTTCTCCCATTCCTAATATTCCACGCACAACCCTGCTTAAGAAGGTCAGCAGCTTTCGAGAAGCTATTCCAGGTAAAGGAACTTCCCTTTATTTTCCGCAAAACGTCGAGATCAGTTCTCTGGCCCCCATACTTCGAAAGGAGGAGCTGCTGCCAGACACCCTCTTTATCTTTGAGAAGCCTCCACCCGCCTTTAGCAAGCATATCTAGGTTCGCCTGCCGAGTCGGCCGAATCCCCACGCCCCCTTGCTCTTTAGGCACCGTAAGCCTCTCCCAGGCCACAAGATGGAACTTGGAGTGATTCTCCTCGTCTCCCCAGACAAAGTCCCTGCTAATCTTGTCAATACTCCTGCAAACACCACTCGGGATAAGCTCAGTATGCATCGTATAAACCGGTAAAGAAGCAGCCACCGATCTGGCCACCGTAAGGCGAGCCGCAAAAGACAGTCGTTTCGCTTTCCATGGCGCCATCTTTCTTTGAATACGCAGGATGAGGGACTGGTATCTCCCTTTCGTGACTCTTTCCTGAATAGCTTGGATCCCCAGATATCTGCCCAAAGCTGCTTTCAACGGGATCCCCGCATACGAACTAAGTGCTTCCGCCTTCTGCCTCGCAATGTTCGGAGAGACATAGAGAATGGATTTGCTGAAGTTCACCCGCTGCCCCGAGCTGTGACAGAAGTCCTCCAAGCATTTCTTGATGACACCAATCTGTCTCCTTTCCGCTTCTGCAAAAAGCAACAAATCATCTGCAAAGAAAAGATGAGTGAGCGGTGGTCCGGAACTGGTGAGCCTCACTGCTTTCCATAATCCCTCACTGACCGCCTCATCAATCTTATGCGAAAGTCGCTCCATACATAGAACAAAAAGATAGGGAGAGAGAGGGTCTCCCTGCCGGACTCCGCGGGATGGCGTGATCGGTTGAGACAGCTCTCCATTCCATCTGATCCTCATGGTGTTGTGTTCCACGCAGTACATAATGCAGCTAATCCAGCTGCTCGGCAGGCCCACTTCCTTCAAAGTATCCCTCAAGAAATCCCACCGAAGCATGTCGTAAGCTTTTTCCAAGTCGATCTTGAACACCATTCCCCCTTTCTTCCCCCTCCTTTTCCTGAAGGAGTGCAGCACTTCCTGGACTACAATGATATTATCCGTCGTTTGCCTTCCTGGAATGAAACTGCTCTGCCTAGGTGACACCCATTTGCGCATCATAGGCTTCAACCTCGAAGTCATGGCCTTCGTGATACTCTTGAGACAAACGTTGTTGAGGGAGATGGGGCGAAGCTGAGAAACCCTCTCTGGCGAGTCCACTTTAGGGATGAGGACTAGAGTGGACTCCGTCACCACCTCTGGGAGTGTACCTGTCATAAAAAAGGACACAGCCATATCGGAGAGAGACTTCCCAACCACCTGCCAGAACTGCTGGTAGAACACCGCCTGGAACCCGTCCGGACCTGGAGCTTGAAGCGGCTTCATGTCAAAAATCGCTCTGTGAATGTCCTGAATATCAAACGGTCTGAACAGAGCTGCCGCTTCTGAGTGACTCATCCGCGGAAAAGAGTCTTTAGGCATCAAATCCTCATAGATGGAGCTCTCCTGCATATAAATATTAGTGAAATAATTAAACACAAGGAGAGCGAGGGAGTGAGGGTCAGTTACCCAGACATCATTCTCGTCCAACAGAGACTCAATCTTGTTGAGCCGCCGTCTGATATTAACCTGCTGATGAAAATAAGCAGTGTTCCTCTCCCCAAACTTCACCCAGTTGTCCCTGGACCGTTGAAACCAAATAAGTTCCTCCTGTTCCAGTACTTTGTCCAGTTCCTCAGACAACTTAGAGTGTAGCTTGGCCAACCCGGGAGCGAAGGCAACCGCCAACCTGGTTTCCACCCCTTTAATTCTGGCCAGTAATCTTCTTTTCCGGTGTTTTATGTCTCCGAACACCTCGTCATTCCAAGTTGAGAGCTGCGCGGCCAGCAATTGAAGTGCTCCCGGGAGAGGGGCATTCTGGTCCCAGGCATCGGAAATCACTTTAGGCAGGCTGTTGTTCGTCATCCAGGCAGCTTCAAACCTGAAAGGTCTCGTGGAAAGAGGTGGGCTCGCCTGCAAATCAACACTGGTTAGAATTGGATTGTGATCCGACTGGTAACGCGGAAGATGTAACACCGCCGAGTTGGGGAAGGCCACATTCCATCTGAGATTACACAAGCTTCTGTCTAATCGACTCGCTTTATATGATTGGCTTTGTTCTCCTCTGGACCAAGTGAATTTTGGTCCCGAGAAACCAAGATCAACCAGCTCTGCCATGTTCATTCTCTCAGTGAAAAGCTGACACCTCCTCAACGTGTTCCTCGCCGGCAACCCAAACTTCTCCTCCGGATTGCTAATGGCATTAAAATCTCCCGTGAGCAGCCACGGAATCTCAATGTGTTGGCTTTCCGAGATTAAATTCTGCCAAAGGACCCGTTGCTCATTCTGCCGAGGGGAAGCATACACAGCGGACAGCATCCAAGGGGGCTCATTCCCTCTGGAAACTTGCAACGTTAAATGTTGAGAACAGGCTGCAAAGGGTTGGACGGAGAACACCCCGCCATCCCAAAACACCCAAATACCACCCGCTCGACCCACAGCCTCAACTCTGCACGAATTTGGAAACCCCATTCTATCACAAACTCCATTAGCCGAATCACCACTCATCTGAGGTTCCAGCAGAACCACAAAATCCGGACGATAACTTTGGATTGCCAACTTCAGAGCTCGACAAAAGGCTCTGCTCCCTGCTCCTCCAACATTCCACGCAAAAACTTTTAATTTGCAAAACATTGACAAAATACAAAGAAAATAAGAAGGGGTTGGAGAAGAGAAAATGCCCGCCAAAGGCTACAGCGGCACAGCCCGCCTACACTGGGACGCCCTCATCTGGCCTGTCCACAGCCCCGTCCTGGCCGGACTGCCCCTCCAAAGCCTTCTCGCTGCTTCCCGCTACTGGCCGCTTCGCTGCTTCCGTCCAGGCGTGGATCTCCTGCAAGGTCAGCGTCGCCAATCGACCCTTTGACTTGGGCTTTCTTTCTTTCACAGGGGACCAAATCTGTAGAGGTTTTGCTGAGATCAACTTCGTCGGGGACCGCTTTTGCTGCGTTTTTTTGTTCTTGCCGCGTTTCGTTCTGGCCGACAACGAGGGTGAGAGGATCCCCTGCGGATCTCTGTTCTCCTTATCCTGGACAGGCCTATCTATTATCTGCATCACTGTCCCATTTGGGCCTGTGATTGTCCGGAGAACAGGGGGTGAGGGAGGTACTGTCATGGGCCTACTCGAAGCACCCGGCCCAACGGAAGACGAAGCAGCCTGTTGCATAGGGACGGGCTCGGATGGCCCGACGGAAGACGAAGCACCATCCGCAATCTGGGCCCCCTGCTTGCTGGGGCTAATTTCATTATTTTTGGGCCCTGGCCCGAGAAGCCCTTTGCCCTTCACTGAATCTTTATTAATCCCTTTCTCCTTCCCTTTTTTAGCTTCTTCTCCATTCTTATAGCCGTTACTTCCCTTCCTTTCTTGTGTCGAACCTTGATTAGGTAACTGCCCGTTGGGACTTGTCATCGGAGGTGAAGTCTGCTGTCCTTCCTTGACCACAATATTTCGGTTACCATCTTTGGCCATTATCTTCACTTTCTGATTGCCCACTTCCTGCTCGCTCTTTCCTTTTTTTTGGTCCTCTCTAGGATTTCGCCGAGATTTCCTTGTTACCAGCATCCACGGCCCAAACCCCGGGTTTTGGTCGTCCGGCGTATGTGCTTGGCTTGCCGGCGTCGACCCATCGGAGAGAGACAGTAGCGGCGGCGCTTCCATCGGTTTGTTCAACGGACATGTTCCAGAGCCATGTCCAATCCTACCGCAATGAAAACAGACCTCCGGTAGGTTCTCATATTCCACCTTTTGCCATTCATCATCAAGCCAGATCCTTGGAACCAGGGCCTTCGAGATATCCACCTCTACCGCCAGGCGAGCGAACTTAGCCCTCTCCTGTTTTAGAGTATGGTAGTCCAGCTTAATCGTCCGGCCAATAAGGTTTCCCAGAGTCATGAGCACTTCTTTATGATAAAAATGAATTTTCAGAGCTGGAAGCTGAACCCAGACGATCATCGTCTTGGGAAGGGGATCGGATGCCTTAAACCTCGGCGACCACTGCTGCACAACCAGATAATGATCGTATATCACCCACGGTCCGTCGGTCAGTGCCCGGAAATAGTCCTGTTCATTGCCCAACTTAACCAAAAAGCAATCATGATCCAAATCTTTGACCTCCATTGAGCCCGTCGGACGCCATAAGCTCTTCAACCGATTGCAGAGAGCAGCAAAGCCAATCCTCAGCCCGAGCAAACGGATCACCACAGTTCTTTCCCACGGCGCACATAGTTTAGCCTTGAACTCTGCCGAAATTGTGAGTGCTGGTTCCCCATTCCGATCGCCGGTCACCAAGTCATGTTCCCCTACTGGGGTCCATCGTTGCAGCTGATTCAGAGTTGTCGCCATCGTCGGAACGCCCGTCACCGCCTTAGCATATGAGAAGGGTTGGGCCGTCCCCCGCCCCGCCTGAAGCCCCGCCACGGAATCTTGGACCGGTAACTCCTGCACATTCGAAACAGATGAATCAATAATCATTTCAGTGGAACTAGCAGTCAGAGCCATCCCACTAGACAGTAGGTTAGACTCGGCTAACGCCGAAGCGCTCAGTAAATCAGGTGGTCGGTCAGAAGGAAGAAGGGTCGTCGCCGGAGCCGGAGTTCCGCCTAAATCAGTCGAGAGCATTTTTTCCCTAAGAGTGAGTCAAATATGAACAATAGTTAATAGTTATTCTTAATAACATTTTCAGGACAAAATATATCACCTTGGTAGAGGGTAGTAATCTGTGGTAGACGGGGATGAAAGGTTATAAATTATAGTTTGTATATTTATATTATCATATATATAATTATTTTAAAATATAGTATATTCATACCAATATGATATACTTTTATAGTACATATGGTATAATCTTATGTACTATTAAGTATTACCACCACGATATAGACTGGTAATAAATGTCTATATTTTTTTGTTCCAAAATATATCAAAGTGAATGTCATTTTGAAAAACACAATTAATATAATTTATCTGCACAAAAAGAAATTAGAACTTACAATTAAAGAGAGATAATCCTCTAAAATTAGCGAAAAAAATTAATTACCTTCTATAAAAGATAAATGTATAATTATACATGATTATTGACTCAATTAGAGGTGAGCAACGGGACAGAATTAGGTACTCGTCCCGTTTGCAACGGATACCCAGTCCCATTTGGAGAGGATACTACATCTCATGTCCCAAAACCATTACGGGTTAACAGGTACCCATTACCCGTACGAGGCGGATAACGGGTACCCACAGGTAACCCATAAATACCTAAAATGACAAATGGTAGTTTTTGCAAAATGATTCAATAATCAGCAAAAAGATTCAATAATCGAGGCAAATTTAGGTATGCGACTCGAGGTCGAGACCGAGTGGAAAGACCAGCATCGGAAGGGAAATGGTGTCATCAGAGTCACACCGTCAGGGGAGAGGACGAGAGGTCTTGCCGAGTCGCCGAATCGGGGTTTGGTGTTTGGCGTTGTGTCTCGATTTTGTAGAGTGATGCGAGGGTCGAGACTCGAGGGAGTCTGGTAGAGGACGAGAGGTTAGAACTCAGAGGAGAGGAGGCCGGAGCTGAGCTGGGCTGGGTTGGGTGGGTTGGGGTTGAGCTGCTAGGGCGGGATGGGGCTGGAATTGGACTCAAGTTGGCCTGAGGTTGGGGCAGGGCTATGTAATGTCTATTTTGTAGGAATTTTTCTTCACGGTATTACAGGTATTAACGGGTAATTCGTAGATATTCATTATAGAAATTATTAATCCAAAGTTTCATCCCGTTAAAAAAATGGGTATTTGAATATCCATAACAAAAAAAAACAAGACGAATATAAATATATCAAAATACCAGTTGTCCACCCCTAAACCCAATGTGATTCGCTCTCTATTCTAGGATAGCCGTAGGATATGGGGATGGAATAGACGGTTGAATGAGAACAAAAGGATAGAAAGAGGATGAAGAAGAATTAGGTAGTGGATTAAAGGAGAAAATCTAAAATATTATTGTTATTCTACAATTCGGTCTAAGTCGGCAATTATTTTACATTGATGTCCTACCTAGACTAATGTAACCTATTGTTCTGTTACCATTTACTTTATCAACCACAATTACCAAAATACCCCGCTTACCTCACCAACTCCATACGCCTTCAAAGTTCAAACCAACCATGTTCTCTATGATGTCACTATGTTTGGCAATAAGGGATGCAAGTTCGACGGTGTAAGTTCGAGAGGTAAATTATTGAATAGTGCAACTTGATGGTGGTAGAAGTGGAGAGGTAAATTGTTGTTTGAATGAAAAACAGAAAAAGTAGAGAGTGCAAATAGACTGAAAAGTAATTATATTATTATAAAATGGATTTATCAAATTTATAAGATATTATCATAAAATAATAAAAATAAAATTCAATATATAATAATAATTAATATATATTAATAAAAATAATTATTTTATAATAATGCTCAAATAATAATTACTTATAACAACAATAATAATCATTGGTCGAGCGACCTCGAAACCCAACTCGTAACGGGTTCTCCTAAGCGGGTTCTCGTGCTTATATTTAAATTGAATATGGTCAATTTAACTATTTAGTTAAGTAACTTAGTCAACTAAACTGTTCCTCTCTATCATTTCCACAAACGCTTCTTATCTTTAATTTTCAATGCAAATTTGAGTCAACCAAGAGTTATCGATTTGACGACGAAGATTAACAAACTTGCTCTCCAAGTCAAATGTTCAACCCCGAACAATGTCTCCAATAATTATAGCTATAAGAAAAAATTAATAATGTTAATTATTATGTAATTATAATATAATTAAAAAAATCCATAATTTTCTCATCCCTCTTCCTTCCTTCCTTTGCACCCCAATTCGGGGAGTAAGCCAAAATAGTAATTCTGCATCCCCGTTTTGCACCGTCTACTGTTACAAATTATCCAAGCGGGTGCAAATGTCTTGGAAATTGTGTTTAACCCTCCCCTTTGCACCTCTTTCCAAACATAGAGTTGAAGATTAAACCCCTCCAATAAATTCGCTAGTAACTTGGGGATTTGTTCTATCACCCGAGCAGAATTGAGAGGAGCTGTAGAAGGGCTTCAGTTGGCCTGGGATCGAGGCAATCGTCGGGTCCTTGTTGAGCTGGATTCTAAGTGCGCCGTTCAACTTCTTCACGGCCCGAACAGCGACCACCATCATGCTGCTATTACTAATCGATTCCGGGAGTTATGTTCACGGAACTGGGAAGTCTCGTGTTACCATATTTATAGAGAGGGGTAATAAGTGTGCCGACTATCTTGCTAGTAGAGGGCATTCCCTCCCGTTGGGTTCTCATATTGTTCCTATTTCTGATCCTGGTTTATACCACCTTCTCATGTACGACTGTCAAGACCTTTCCGAGCCTCGTTGTGTTATGAATGAAAGTTGAGATGCGTCGCATCCATTTATAAAAAAAACTGAAAATAATAATAGCATTTTATGTTACCAAAAAAATAGCATTTTAATTTAAAGGCTAAAAAGTAGTAGTATTCTCTTCTTGTAAAATTATCTATTAGTTTTTCAATTTTCGTATTCTTCATAAAGTCATTTTCAATCATCGTCGGAGATGAAACAATAAGGCTTCTTGAGTCAATTTAGATCACAAATTGGTCAATTACTGTTAATATACAAGCCTCGTGTGTGTATATATATATAGGTTTAGCCTAGCATAGGTTTGCCATACGCCAACCTTGCCACAGGAGCGGATCTGTTCAGTAACCTGTAGCCTTTAACCCACTTGTTCCACATAATTATTTACCCACGTCCAGTGAAATAATTGTCGGGTTGCAGTTAATTTTAGTACGACACATTTAACACTTGACCAGTTATTATCATTAATCCCCCTTATCGAAAAGGTAACCAGTAAAAAAATTAATTACAATTCCTCCATTCATTACATACTAGATTGTACCCCGACCCGTTGGCCGGTTGCAATATGATTGCCGTAATTAACAAAGCTTTAAAGCTTAAATTTCACTAATCTCCACTTCCCTTATATTCTTGCCATGCTTATATGTCAACAACATGTGAATTAACAACATTTGCCTTCCATATTGATTTTTGTTGAAATTCAAAAGGTAAGTCTTATGCAAGAGTATATTAACTTATATTAAACTTAATGTCACAATATTATAGGTATTCCAAAGTAATCAGTTTATTCATCAAGAATCTTCATTATTGACTCCATTATCTTCACTTTTATCTTGTGTATTTTTGTGAAGCATATTCAAACGCAAAACATGATTATATATGCAATGTAATTTTCATGACAATTTACATAATTTTACTCACAAATGTTGTTGGAGGTTAATTTTTCCACTATTGATTATCTTCGAAACTGTTAACCCGTTTATGAGATTTATGATGTTGTAATCACTAAACTTGAAACTTCTACCTCAATTCTTTTTTATAACAATACATTCCTTCATTTAATGAGACATTAGGGAGAGGAGGTATCCTTCTCCCACTATTTTCAGTAGCTTTTTATCATTAACTCTAAAAATCAGAATTCTTGATGATGAAAGACAACAAAATTATATTTTGTAGTATCCAAAACTCAAGTTGGAACTTAAATATTAAAAGCATTAATAATTGATTGGTAGTATCTACCATTAGAGTTGGGTCTCAAATATGAAAAATGCCGATAATTGAGATTCATTATTTAGAAGAGCAATATAAGGTTTATTGAAGATGATTCTTAAATTGACTGAATTTTACTTACAAACTTGATCACTTATGGATTAAAAATAAATAAATGAATTACCCATAAGGGCCAATTCTCTTAGAGAAAAAAATTATTTTTTCCAAAAAATATATCAAAAGGATGTCATCTTCTATAGTTTAACCAATTGGAATTTTCTAAATAAAAAAATTAAAATCCAATATAAAACAAATGACATATGATCAATTATAAATCCTCTCACTAATATATGGAATTGATGGTAGTACCAATATAATCCTCCCGAATTTTCTAAATAGTAAATATAAAACCACGTAAACAAATATATGGAGATACTATTTCAGCACCCACCCAAATCAAATTTTCATGTTCAATGCGCATAGTACGGAAGGGTTGATTATTCTTTTAGGTTAGGGTTTTTTCTTATGTTTTGCAGCGGGCTTATTTCATTTGGGTTTCCACGAAAAGTCTTTCGATTTTTTCGTCCTTTAATTGTTCATGTTGTTATTATGTATTATTATAAGTAGCCGAGTTCAATTTGTATTAGGATAGGTAATCTAGATTACTGTTGGTTTACAATCAGATTATTATATCTATAATAATTCTAAGTATGTAATCCGTCTCTTATTACTTTTCAAGGTATTATATCTCATTTATTTAACATCGATGATATAATTTTTCAATAAAATTCAATTAATTATTTATGTAGTTTAAAATAGAAAACTTATATAAGTGTCATATAGCATGGTGTTCGTTCTACAAGCATTCCCAATAAAAGAATTTGTCAAAACTTTCATATTCCAATTTATTGCGGTTCATGCTTGAGCTATGCATACCTGAATGTGAATTGCAAACTCCTCTAAAGAATGATTTCTTGATATATCCAAATATCGTCTGACGACTTGAGACTGAGAATCATGTTGTCTCTAAAAGTCTAGAAACTCACCAATTCATTTGTCTGATATGACAGTGAACGAACTCCTAGAGATCTTATTCTCCGAAATCTCAATGTAAATCTTTTGTGTTCCACTTTGTCGGAGTAATTTTGATCCCAAGATTGAATAGTTTGCTCTTCAAATGGTATTGACTATTGAGATTGGATTGGAAGAATTGAAGAGCTTAGATCTGTCATTCGATAACTAGAAAAGCCCTCTCTTTGTATCTGACTATGTGTCGCTTCTTTGATTTTCGGGCCTGGCTGTTTTCCAGGATGTAATTATCTATTTGTTTTGGATCAATAAATGATATCTTTTGAAAAAAAAAATATTTTTCTTCTACTAAACACATTACGACCTCCTCTGTCGAGAACCATAACGCCTGCTTTTTTGCTCCCTCAATCTTCCAATTGAATATATATATTTTCTGTCCAAAACCACACACAGGTATGTTTAATGTTACAGTTTATCAATAGTCTTTGGTGCATTTTTTATAAATATTTTTAGTTTTATGTTAAACTCAGGTGCTTACTATCCGTCTATGCATGATATTAGAGTTTAATGCTTAGTGCAAATATTGAAAAGTTCATGTATATAGTTAATGATATTGTGGTTGAGAGACAAATGTTGTGTACATATTAAGACATTGTTTTGTTTTACTTCACTTTTAACGTGTTCAAATTTTTTATGATAAAAATTTTAGATGTAGAATCATGTTTAAAGAAACATATTTAACTTCATAAGTTGACAAATGAATTAATAAAATTAAACATTATCTTAACTATATTTGATCACTCCAATTTTGTTGATTATTTTGGAGTTTAGAGTTTATGGTGTTAGGAAAAGCCTATGTTTTCTTATGCTATGAGTATATATATGGGGCTACTTTCGTTAAAATTTTCCGACGTCTCCTTTCCTCTTCAACCTTATCATGAACATCCTTTCAATGATGCTTGAAAAGTTAAGAGAGGCTGGTTTAATTTGGGGATTCTTTATGGATGAGGATTCTTTGAGAGTCTGTTAGTTATATTATTGTCGATAAGTTGCATATTACTCCTATTTTAGTTAGTTTTGACTTCTGAAATTCCTTCAGTTCCATCGTTTCTATGCTACATTTGCAACGCATTGGTTTATTGATTTCTCATATCTATATGTTTTCAATGTAAAACTCCACAAATTTCTTAACTTGGATTGCTCACAGACTGCTTTATTTTCGACTTCTCCCCATTTTGAGCTGTAATTGGTGGCTAATACATCAAATATTTCTCTCCCCATTTTTGTTTCAGCCATCCACGAAGAGAAACTATGGCCACCTGAGCAAATTAAGGAATTGTGGTAAAGAGAGGGTTCAATTGTACATTGGAAATTCCACAAGATCAAGTAGTGTTGATGTGAGCACGTGAGTTCTTTAGCAAATTGAGGACATGTAAACTCATGGAACTTTATATTATTACGTATTTATGTTATTTTTGTTTCAGCCATCCACGGAGTGCAATGCTTCTTAATGCTGCCACAATTTAGTGAATCTAAATGAAAGATAGTCCAAAGTTTGTTTTAGAGGTTCAATATTGTGTGTTTATATGATATCAAGTAAAGTCATTCATTTTGTTTGCTCCGGATATTCTTAATATAATCAATATCCCGAATATAATCTACATGTAAACCTTTTGTATCATTTCATGCTTGGGTTATTATTTGGTGAAGCTTCAGCTCTCTAATGCTTATTGTTGTTGTTGCAAGTTAGGAGAATCAAATGAAATTAAGTTCAAGAGTTTATTGTAAAGACTCAATCAAGTGTGTTTATGTACAACTAAATCTTCTCCTTCTTTCCTTCTTACCCTCGGATGTATTTTCATACATGCAAGTTCCTTGAATTATAGTCTGTATTTTCGCTATTCATGTCCATGAACTTTCAAATGCTCCATGCAACAATTCAAACAATTTTTGTCTATATGCTCTTGCAATTTATAGGCTCTTTTGCATTTTCAGCGAACTTATTTTGTGATTCCTTTGGTTATTTTGTCAGATTCACAATGACACCCTTTGTATGATCCATGTGTGTATGTTGAGGTCAGAATTCTGTGACCATTGTCGGATCAACATGTAATCTCAACAGTTAGCAAATATTAGTAAAATTGTTTTCGTGTGTGCATTCTCCACAACCTTGCATTACGGTACCAAAAGATTACTCAAGTCAGGCATTTCCCGCAGCAAAGTGCGGGCTGATTACTAATGATACTTTATTTACAGATAATAATTAAATCAAGACTCAAAATTTTTGACCGAATAAAATGAAAGGTGAAGGCAATTTCTATATGACTCATTACATTTCATCCCCCCTGCTCCGGTGAAACTAGTGAGTCATAACTATCTATCTTCATTGTAGATGTTTAATTAAGATAAAGAGAAAGAATCAACCGATTTAAACTATAATGGATAAGTTTTCAAAGTTAAGCTATGACCACGTAAACATAAAACGAACCGTCTTTCGATTGGCAAGGGATGAAATCACGTCTTCAGAAATCTCCATCATACCACCAGTAATGTCATCATCGATCTTCATATCTTTCAAATGATGCCTCCACGATGCGACAACAGTCACGCAGCGATCAAGAGATCCAGTCATCATATACTCATGGCACATATACTGTATCAAACACAAATAATAATGAGAAGAGCGTTTGGTAATTAATATAAACAGTCATTACAAGGAAAGAATCATGGCAATATTCACGCATACATATGTAATAACAAAGAGTGGTGCACATACCTGAG